GTGCCCCGTGGGTGTCCCGTGGGTGTCCGGTGGGTGTCCCGTGGGTGTCCCCGTGGGTGCCCCATGAGTATCCCGTGGGTGCCCCGTGGGTGTCCGGTGGGTGCCCCGTGGGTGCCCCGTGGATGTCCCGTGGGTGTCCCCGTGGGTTACCCATGGGTGTCCCGTGGATGTCCCGTGGGTGTCCCCGTGGGTTACCCATGGGTGTCCCGCGGGTGTCCCCTTGTCCCACAGGAGTGCCCAGGGAGCCCCTCCCGGCCCTGGGGTGCTGGTGTCCCCGCTCTGTCCCTGTCACCGGGGCTGGGCTGCCCCGAATTCCCTGAATTCCACAGTCAGGAGCAGCAGAGCCTCTCCCGCTGCTTTTCCCACCAGGAGAGGGAGCTGGCCTTGGAGGGGTTGGGAATTTTGGGAGCCTGGGGTCTGCAGCTCTCAGAAACCTGAGAAAGACACAGCGCTGAGTTCCTGCCCTGCTCCCACTGCAGGTTTTGGGTCCAAACCTTACTTTGGGACTTCAGCCCCTTTTAATTATTTGTGATTTTCTTTTTTTTGCTCATTTTCCCGTGAGATTCCAGCAGGCACAGACACACAGAGGCTTTTCCTCTGCAAAGCTGATGCAGAAAAGTTGTCTGGAAGCCCTGTGTGCCCTGGAAATGCCCAGTGCCCCTCTGTGCCCCCTCCACCCCAACCCCGCCGCTCAGATTTTGTCCCCCTGGCTCTCCAGTAGTGAAAATTCCAAAATCATTAAAATCATGAAGCGTGTCTGCTCTGGAGTTCCTGCTGTGTGTTGGAGGGTGGCTGAATTCCTGCCAGGGAGGGAGGGAGGGGGGTGCTGGGTTAAGCACTGGATTCCCCCAAAAACCACCAGAATTCCCCCCTGGAGCCGTGTCCTCCCCTCCCTGAGCCCTTTCACCCATCCCGTGTTCACTCCATCCTGCCCAGCCAGCCCTCCTCCTGCGTGGGAGGAAAAAACAGCAAAATTAGCAAAAAAATTAGCAAAAATCCCTCTGCAGCTCCCGGCCCTGCCACTGGGAATGCTGTTCTGGGATTTCTGGGAATGTCGTTCCGGGATTTGATTCCTGCTGGGGTTTATGGGGCTGGGAAGCCTCCCTGGGCTGGTGCTGCTAAAATATCCCCCCCCCCCCCCCCACCTGCATTCCTGGGGTTTTTTCCAGCCCCTCTTGGGCAGGGATGTGCTTTTGGGATCTGGCTCTGCAGGAAATCACCTCAGAGCTTCCCAAGGTCCCATCCCTTCCTGCCCTCGGGGCATTCCCTGCCTCCTGTCCCTCTGTCCCTTGTCCCCAGTCCCTCTCCAGCTCTCCTGGAGCCCCTGCAGAGACTCTGAGCATTCCCTGGATTTTTCCCTTCTCCAGGGGAACATTCCAGTCTCTCCCCTGACCCTGCTGGGACAGCTCCGTGTCCCCTGTGCTGGCCCTGGATCATTTCCAGGTGCCAGCATCCCCTGGGTGCCAGCATCTTTGGGTACCAACATCCCCTGGGCACCAAAATCCCCTGGGTGTCAACATCCCCTGGGTGCCGACATCCCCTGGGTGCCAGCATCCCCTGGGTGCCAGTGTTCTCCGGGTGCCAGCATCCCCTGGGTGCCAGCATCTTTGGGTACCAGCATCCCTTGGGTGCCAGCATCCCCTGGGTGCCAGCATCCCCTGGGTGCTCGGGTTCTCCGCGTACCAACATCCCCTGGGT